TATATATATATATATATATATATATATATATATAATATATAAATAATTCCTACTTTGGAGTTTTTCACTTATTGCGAGGCTTCAGGGTGTGGACTCCCTGTGATAAATAAGGGACTACTGTAATGTAAAATAAATAATGAAGAAGCTGATATAAGAGGAAAAGACAACAGCTTCACTAGTTTGGCAGATATTTAAAACAAACAGCAATCAGCTCCAGTACTTATGGATCTGTCCCATTGTCACCGATATCTGATGTTTCGATATCAGTAACGATATCGATACTAACATCAGATCGGTGCATCTCTACAGATACTCGATATCTGTACCGATACTAACATCGGATCGGTGCATCTCTAGTTGTAAGTGGGCCGGAGCGACACGAGGACTGTCTCGTACACCTGGCTTGCCCGAGTCTCTCCTCTCCAGCAGGAATCACGACACCTGACTGTTTTTAGCTTCTCCAACAACAGACATTTCTCCGTCCTCTTGTGCTCGGGATCCAATTAGCACACAAAGCTCTTTTTTTTTTCTGGCTCCAGTTCCACAAGACTTGGCATTCAAAGGCACTGGAAAAGGAAAATATTTTTTGAAGAATAACTAGAGTTATCTGGGTTGGAAAACAATACGAGCTATTTTTGGGGCATTCCTCAACTTGTCACTCCCCGCAGACAGAACGCTGTAGTCTTTCTTCTCCTTTCTGCTCTCAACAAACTCTGCATTTTTTTTTTGTCTCCCTCCATTTCTCAACTTCTCTCCTGGCATAAAAGGGACTATTTTTGACAAGGCCCCATTTTCACACTTAGCTCTCAGCTGTGTGCTCGCTATCTGAGGCTGCTTTCCCTCACACCATCTCTGATGTGACGGCTTTCTGTTGTCAATCCTCCGCTGCCGACATTATTTTTAGACTCAGGTGAACCTGAGGTCGGCTTCTGATTTAGTCTTTCTGCTATTTGTGCGCCTTCACGTGGAGGGACGGGAGGCGGATTGTTGCATAAGAACCCTGTGATGATGGTAGGAGTATTTGATCTGGGTAAGTTTATATTTATACACTAAATGACAGAATTGAGGAGGAATTCAGGCACATGGACATTAAATTACACTCGGGTTCAGTCATGAAGCTTTTGGTTCAGCTTAAAAACATATTTACGCAGAAAAAAATGGATGTTTCTTCATCTCAAAATAGATAAATGGGGGAAAAAAGAACTTTTCCTTTTAAAAGCATCCAATTTTCACCTATTTGCAGCTGGTTTTGCCAGGGTTAGAACACGATCGACAACCTAAATCTGAAAGCAGATCAGAAACTGAATTAATGAAGATGTGTTCAAAGGCGGATTCTTGAAATATTCAACCCTGCAATAAAGAGAAGTGTGCCTCCAAACTTTATAGAGCCTTACAACTAATAAAACTACCATCCAAAGCAGCAAGCATGAGCTAAAGTAGCCTCTGTAGGGTTGACGGTGTCACTCGAGCAGAGTACGAAGAGGAATTTTTATGATTAGTTCTCCCTGGCCTAGTTAAAACACAAACATGAAAAAAAAGAGGAGCTTTGTGTAGAAAATATTTTTTCCATTAATATTGTGCTTTTGAGATTTAAGGGAAACGAAAAGGAGCCAAGCATTCGAGCAATGACTTACAGCTATGAAAACACTGCCAGCTGCTGGCAGCTTCAGCTGAAGACATTTTTCTCCTGCGCTGGTAAACATTAAGGAGTTATTCCTCTTGGATCACTGTCAAGCTGCAGTCGCCTTCAGCCTGCAGCCATTTAAATATTAAATGTTGGTGTTGTGCGTTTCTGACACTACTCCACTGCTGGGCACTTTGACAACTCAACCCCACGAATTAAAATCAGATTGGCTGCAGATTTCGAGTCCTCTGCTGTGTTTACTGAGACGTCCTTATTCCTCTCTCTCAAAACCAAAACACAAATTGAGAAAAATTGTTTGGGAATCCCCATGAGTGCACGTCTGTATTTATTACAGCTCTGAATCCTTACATTTGCATCGTTGCGTTCTGGAAGAAATGGAGTTTTATTTGAGAACTGAACTGTCATTGAGGACGTGCTGCTGTCTTAGTTAATGAAGTGTGTGGTGGCATCACGCCTAGAATTAAAGAGCTACCAGAAGCTGACGGGGGAAAAAGATTGTGTGTAATGAAGAGTCGGAAGTTTTTGACGTTATAAATAGAGATACGCAATATTGGATTTTTGGCCAATATGTTAAAACTTATTTTGCCGATAACCAGTAACAGATATCAATACAGATTTTTTTCCCTTCTTCCTAGACCTACTTACAGAGTCTACACAGCTTTCTCTGCTCTGGAATAAAAATACTAAATTATTCTGCACGGTCTTTGTCAATTTGGCCTGCTACCAAATGCAGATGCTAAAAAGGGGTCTGAAATGATGTAACACTTCAACTTTGATTATGTTTTATGTCAAATTTATTCATGACATTTACTCTCTAACACAATGACAACACTCGAACAGTGCAAATTTGTAAATGTTCACAAATCTAAACTCAACACGGCGTGTGATGTCATAACGTGCTGGCATCCTTGTCATTGGGTTGTCATACAAAAGCAGTGCTATATATATATATATATATATATATATATATATATACACACACACACACACACACACTACATTGCCAAAAGTATTTGCTCACCCATCCAAATGATCGGAATCAGGTGTTCAAATCACTTCCATGGCCACAGATGCATGCAGACTGTTTTTACAAAGAATGGGTCGCTCTCGGGAGCTCAGTGAATTCCAGCGTGGAACTGACAGGATGCCACCTATGCAACAAATCCAGTCGTGAAATTTCCTCGCTCCTAAATATTCCACAGTCAACTGTCAGCTGTATTATAAGAAAATGGAAGTGTTTGGGAATGACAGCAACTCGGCCACCAAGTGGTAGGACACGTAAACTGATGGTGGATGTTGAAGCGCATAGTGCGAAGAGGTTGCCAACTTTCTGCAGAGTCACTCACTAGACCTCCAAACTTCATGTGGCCTTCAGATTAGCTCAAGAACAGCGTGCAGAGAGCTTCATGGAATGGACTTCCATGGTTGAGCAGCTGTGTCCAAGCCAAACATCACCAAGTGCAATGCAAAGCATCAGATGCAGTGGTGTAAAGCACGCCCCCACTGGACTCTAGAGCAGTGGAGGTGCGTTCTCTGGAGTGACAAATCGTGCTTCTCCATCTGGCAATCTGATGGACGGGTCTGGGTTTGGCGGTCGCCAGAAGAACGGTACTTGTCTGACTGCACTGTGCCAAGTGTAAAGTTTGGTGGAGGGGGAATTATGGTGTGGGGGTGTTTTTCAGGAGCTGGGCTTGCCCCCTTAGTTCCAGTGAAAGGAACTCTGACTGCTTCAGCATACAAAGACATTTTGGACGATTCCATGCTCCCAACTTTGTGGGAACAGTTTGGAGCTGGCCCCTTCCTCTTCCAACATGACTGTGCACCAGTGCACAAAGCAAGGTACATAAAGACATGGACGGCAGAGTCTGGTGTGGATGAACTTGACTGGCCTGCACAGAGTCCTGACCTCAACCCGATAGAACACCTTTGGGATGAATTAGAGCTGAGACTGAGAGCCAGGCCTTCTCGTCCAACATCAATATGTGACCTCACAAAAAAGCTTCTGGAAGAATGGTCAAAAATCTCCATAAACACACTCCTAAACCTTGAAGGGTCGACCAACGTCATATTGAACCCTATAGATTAGGAATGGGATGTCAGTTAAGCACATATGTGAGTCAAAGCAGGTGAGCGAATACTTTTAGCAAAGTAGTATATATAAACAGCACCTTTTTTATTGTTGAGTTATTTTGATGGAATGGCCGATGTCCGATATTTAACTTTATCGTTAATATTGGCCGATACTGATACCATGACGATAATATCGTGCATCCCTAGTTATAATAAAAAATATTTTAAAGTGGTGTAGAAATTAAACTATGGTGCATTTAAGCTGCAGCAAGTTCAGTTCAAGATTAAAGTGAAGCACAAGAAAGTCTCCAAAATGACTAAAGATTGTTTCGCAGGTTCTACAGAAAACTCTCACAAGTGGTGGGCTAACGATAAAAAGATAAAAACTTTGTTTTTATTTAAAGTGGGTTCTTACCTAAACATAAGAGTACCGTATTTTTCGCCATATAGGTCACACCTTTTTGCATAAATTTGCGAGTCCTGCGACTTATACACCGAAGCGACTAATATATATATTTTCCCATATTTATAACACAATTTTTGGCTGAGATCTGACAATTTAATTAATTCTGACATGAAAAATATTAAACATTACCATTTGCAGCTGCTAGAGGGCCCTCAACTAATATGGTAAGCCCAGTGTCTCATTAATAGGTAAAAGAGGCTATTAATGAGACACTTGGCTTGCCATATCAACCACCTTCGTCTCACTCCAGAACTCCTGAAGCAAACGTCAAATCAGCTGCATTTCGCTGCCCAGGCGAAATGCAGCTGATTTGACCATTAAAGTGCGTTTAATCAGGAAAAGTTAGACTGAGACACAGCTTTGCTATAATTTTGAGCAAACAAATAATTGTTTTAAGTGTTAATCTTGTTAAATTCTTGTTAAAGTCCTCCTGTGCAGCTCTCGCGGTCGCCATTTGGCAGCCAATCGATTTTTGGCACAACACCAGCCCACGTTTCCAGGTTGTCAGTAGTGACGCATAATAGATGCGACTTATACGGCGAAGCGACTTATTTATGTTTTTTCCATTTTATTAGCCATATTCGGACTGATGCATCTTATATGGTGGTGCGATGTGCACGGCGGAAAATACAGTATGTAGAAAGGTTTGAAAGGCAAGTTACGTATTTTTAACACCAATTACTGAAAAAGTGTTTCCAGGAAGCTGGGGTGAAAACTTCAGTTCATTAACGCAAAGTGACAAAAACACTCGAGAAACAGAAAAAAATGTTCTTGAATAAATCAACACTTGCATTAAACAAGTTAAGCACTTAACTATTTTACTTTGCTAACCTTGCAAACAACATTTAATAGACAATTCAGTACATACCTGTTTATATTCCCCAATAATGGAACCATTCTTCCTAATCTCTGATTCAGACTTATCCAGTTCTCGTCTGCACATTTCCTTCAGCTGCAGGAACACAAATAGTTTGATTGTTAGAGGGCAAAAACAAAAAAAACTACTGACACAAGCAGATTCAGAGGTCAGAGAGAGTATGTGATTACATGAAATGGGACAGAGACAGTAAAAGGTTTTGGCAAGCTCGTGGCAAAGTCCTGCCCTCGACACAACCTTGACTCAAACACATAAATCACTCAGCGTCGCACCTCGGCTCGCAGTAAGACACGAGACGTTTGGAGGACAGCATCGGACACACACGGACTGGAGGGCTGCGGACTCAAGGCTGTTCTCCACACACACTTATCAGAACGATGGATTACTAATGACATGACACACAACTTATTAAAAAGAAATAATGCAGATTTGAAATATTCAAACATGGACAGAGTAGTTCCTTCTAGTTCTTGACCACATAGTAGATATATTAGACACAATAGGCTAAACAACAGGTGACAAGGGGACTGAATAAAGAACAACTAACCCAAATACTACAGATCTTAAAATGTTGGATCATTATCAAACAAACTTGTCTCTTGACTCTCAACTCTTCACCTTAGGATTTAAGTTGCATCAGAAGCCATCTTTCCCTTTACATATTTTACTTTAGCGGTGCCAGACATCCCTGTAATTTGTAAAGTGTTTTGATGAATGGGTCTTTTAAAGTTTGCTTTACACTTTGGCTGCTTTTTGTTGGACCAATTTTCTGTGCAGACCCTGAACATGACGGCATGTTGTGCAGTGTGGGTTTAAAAAGTGACTACAGCTACTGCTAATGGCTCTTTAGGAAACACCTTTCCTTGGGGCGGCTGTGGCTGAGTGGTTAGAGCAGTCGTCCGCCAGTGCAAGAGTTGGAGGTTCAATTCCACCAGCAGTCGCATACCGAAGTGTCCCTGGGCAAGACATTGAACCTCTCATTGCCTCCAATGTGTCCCATCAGTGTATGAATGTGATAAAGCTCTGTTTAGTCTTTGTATTGATCTAGTAGTGTTGTATGAATGGGTAAATGAGGACACTGATTGTAGAGTAAACGCTTTGTCTTGATAAGATAGAAAGGCACTAGAAGTACAGTCCATTTACCATTTTGGTGCAGGAATATATTCACCCGTTTTTTTTTTAGGTATATTTTTTAAGGATTATTCTAAAGAGACAAAAAATAAACAGTCTTTCTAACAGGCTGCTAATAAAGCGCTAAAAAAATCCTATTGAAAACGTGTTCTTTGAGATATTGCTGAATGAACGAAGAATCACTGCTGAGTTTAAGACAGTAGCTATGTTTACATGTGCAAAATTCTTTGGCCAGATTGAAATGTTTTCAGATTAAATCGTTCATTATTAGGGATGCACGATGTTGGATTTTTGGCCGATATGTTAAAACTTATTGGGCTGATAATTCATACCAATACCAATATTTTTTCTCCTAAACCTACTTACAGAGACGACATAGCTTTCTCTGCTGTGGAATTGAAATACTACACTATTCTGCATGGTCTTTGTCAGTTTGTCCTGCTACCAAATGCAGATGCCAAAAAGGGAACTGAAAATGATGTAACACTTCAACTTTGATTATGCTTAATGTCAAATTTATTCATGATATTTACTCTCTAACACAATGACAACACTCAAAGAGTGCAAATTTGTAAATTTTCACAAATCTAAACTCAGTGGCGCACGCAATTTCATAACGTTGTGCTGGTGCTGCAGACATCCATGTCACTGGGTTGTCATACAAAAACAGCACCTTTATATATATATATATATATATATATATATATATATATATATATAAACAGCACATTT